TCGTGATAGAGTGTTCAAAGTGGTCGGCCATGGTAAGGGCGGTGGAGGCAAGGGCCTTCATGTTTGGAACTTTGTAGTTTTGTGCTAAATAGACTCCCAAGGCTGTGCCCATCATGAACGAAAAGCTGCTTTTAATTATCCCCATTATCCAAACTATTCTTTTTTGCCTGCTTCTACCCTTTCCCTCACTTCTTTTTTTATACTCCTGCGCCTGCGCTCTTAAAGTCATAACCCCTTCCCCAAGCAATTTTTCTTTTCAAACAAACAAATCACTATAACCCTTCGTCAAGTAATACCATCTTCCTCTACCAAGTGGGAGTGGGAGTGGGAGTGGGAGTGGGACCCGTATATTCGCTTCGCATAACTTTAGATTCGCTTTAATTAAATTCAACAAAAAAAAAACGTAGTAAAACATAATAGGAACAGTGAATGTTAAAATTATTTAAAATAAAATAATATTTACCTTATTTCATTTAACAATATTTTATTTTTTAATTTGAAAAATAAGATGATTATCTGTCTTATTTTAGAACTTAAAAAAGTTCCGAATATAAAATAATAGTTAAAGGCAGCAATTTGTGTTTTTGTTATCTTGAAGTAATCCACTCACGGATTTCTTGGAGTTGTGATCAACTACGTTACTTCTTTCTTGCTTTTCTTCATCTTCACCTTCACCAGGTTCGATAACTTTGTCAAAATCAAACTTTAATGTTTTTGTTTTCCATAATTACTCCGCTGTCGTTTTACCAATATTATATTATGGGCGAATTTCGTGGTTTCCTCCTTATCTGAATTTCGTTTCTCTCAACTTTATCAGAAACACGGTAGGTACGTACGAGAGGATCATCCTTTTCCAACTTATTAGTGTTCCCTTTTTGCTTTATACCTAAGATTTTGTCTTCCGATGATTTTCCCGCATCGGCTTCTTCTTTATGTGTAACTGCCTTCGTGTTGCTCAAGTTTGGGTTTTGTCAGTTTATGATGTCTCTTCCTTTCTTATTCTTTTAGATAAAAGAATTGATTTTGATTTTTTCTTTTTGTGATTGGTGGATTACCTTCCTTTGTCAGACCATGTATATTGTGTTTTTCTTTTAATTGAATTTTGTTGATGCTACTTTCAGTAGGAATGGCAAGGAGCTACTTCAAACAAGAACATGATCTTGGTATATAATTTTTGCTTTTTTTCTTTTTCCCCCAATTACTTGTGGCTTTTGCTGTGTACGTGGAGAGCTAATTATTGTACAAATTCTTTTCTGCAGAGAAGAGAAGAGCTGAGGCCGCTAGGATTAGGGAGAAATACCCAGATAGGATCCCGGTGAGTGCTTAAAATTTCTTATTTCCTTTGCTACTGTCTAAATACTGATGCAATTTGTGGTGATAGGTGAAGTATACATTTGTGGCAGAAGAAGACTTGTTCTTTCATTTGTCCCCCCAGTTGAGAAGCCAATGATTTTCAATTTTTTTTTTTTGGGGGCGGTGAAAGCTTGTTTGTTATCTACAATTTTATCCTCTGTTTGATTTTTTCTTTTGTCTACTGCCTCTTTCATGTCATGACATGATGTGGCACCATAATATATAACTGCTTTGCACTTGACTTTTGTGGAAATTCTTTACAGGATTGGTGATCCTTGATCTTCGTTAACAGTCTTTCTTAAACAGAATTTTTTTTTACAACAGTCAACGCATTTGGATACCTGCTACTTTGATTTTCAGATTTTAGCCGTGTTTGTTCAGTTTGATGGACCTAATTTAATTAGGCATTTTACTATTCTTAGTTTGGTGGTCTTCTTGTCATGTGTGTGCTGTTCCTGTTGGTGTCGTTATTTCCCCTTAGGCCCTTAACCTTGTTTTAATTTGTGTCCAGGTGTTCCTAGTCCTAGTCCTACCATCCCTTGGTGGAGTATAATATCTCTGTAAACATAGTTATGCTCCCTGTGAGAATGGTCTGTAATCCTATTGCACGAAAATTGTATTGTGTTTTTAGATTTTTTTTAAAGTAAAAACAATTTTGATTGCTCTCGTGTATAAGTGACTAATTTGGAAGTGTTCTATATTGGATGTTAAGTGACTGATTATAGAGTCCTGAATTATACAATGAAATTCAATGTAGGATTATTGGATTATTTTTACTTGTGAACTATATACTTTTGTGGACTTTCTCAAAGGCTGGATCCTTTGAAGGAAGCATCTTATGTTCTTAAACTATTGTGTATTTTTGTTTGCTGCTTTGTATTAGTTATTCTGAGTTATGATGATACAATGCAGAGCAGTCTGTGTTGTTTTATTTTATTTTACTCTGATGATTATAGCATAGTCAATTCATACATCTAGGTTCAATTTGATTCAGGAGCAATATCCATATTTAGATATAGGTCAATTTTAATTTCTCATGTAGATAAATATTATATTATATCCGTCAAGGCATGGCATTTTAAATTTTAACTCCTGCTTCTTTCCTGCCTCTACCATGGTACTCGGAACATGTAATTGATAAACTTCTAATTTTTGTGCTAAATTATCTCTGGATATGCCTGAAGGTAATTGTGGAGAAGGCTGAAAGAAGTGACATCCCAAGTATTGACAAGAAGAAGTAAGATGCTGCCTATATTTTCCTTCTAATGTGGAAAATGCCATATTAATTAGACAATTTATGACTAGTTTCGTTTAATGATTTTATCAAAAGTGAAAAATGCTGTTAATGCACCTAACATGATTTCCAATGCTCCTTCGATGTGATTTCCTTGGTTTTCAATAAAAGCTTTTTGTTTATTGATTCCTCAACTAGTTCCTTTAGAAAACTGGTTAACAAGACCCTGTTAATTTCCATTCCAGTGTATAAAATTCAAAATAAAGCTTACACCATTTTTATTACCGTTGGATCGATAAATGTGCATATCATGCCAAGTTGAAATTGTTTCATGTTGTTGTATTGTAGAATATACATTTTAAACATCAAACAGTTAGTCGTGTTCTTTTTCTTGCGTAACATTTCTAAAGTTAAGATATGATTTCTATGTGATACGCTTTCATAATGGCCAGACTGATCAAAATCACTCTGTGGATTTATTAGATTATGTGCTGAATTGATCAAAATGACTTACAAATTTGGCACGTTTGACTATTAGCAATACTGCTATTGCTAAGAGAATTGCTGCTGATATCAGTAGCTTCATTTAGTAAAAGGACCTTCATTTTATCTGGGGCTAACAGCATTTTGAATTGGTTTTCTAATTTCTATTCAAGAAAGTTTGGTTATAATGGCTGCGTATTTTCTTTTCCTAGTTATCAACTACTAGATTTTAAGGTGAAATGAATATATCAGCCATTGTTACAGTGGACATTAAATTTCTAATATGGTTGGCAGCCATATATATACTGTCATATGCTTTCAAACTGAATGACTGCATTGCAGGTACCTTGTTCCTGCTGACTTGACTGTTGGACAGTTTGTATACGTGATCCGCAAAAGGATTAAATTAAGTGCAGAAAAGGCAATCTTCATATTTGTGGACAACGTCCTTCCTCCTACAGGTGAGCCTTGGCAAATCATATGCTCCGTAACTCTTTCTCAATATATGATTCTCTAGATTTCTAAAGTAGAACTAGAATAGCCTTATGCTATCACTTGACTGGATAATTCACTTTCTTCAGGAGCAATTATGTCTGCCATATATGATGAGAAGAAGGACGAGGATGGGTTTCTCTATGTTACGTACAGCGGCGAGAACACCTTTGGGGATCTGATTTCCATTCAGTAGCCACTATAATAAACTTCCACCGTATGATATGGTGTCATTGGTCTGTCTGATAAATTCCTCACAGTACTCGTGTCAAGAACATTACTCTCAATGTTTTGTACAGTTGTATATAAATTCCGTGAACTTGATCAATATTAAAAGTTCCCTCATTCAGTCTTTCAACTCCTTTCTCGGTTTGCATCTTGCATATCTTGGCATGTTCATTTTGCACATAGAATGATACAATGGATTAGTAGTATAACATTTGAATTTAAATATCTTCAAAAAGCCTCTTATGGTCACTTGTTCCCCCTTGGATTTCAATCAAAGGTTAAGGAATTTCATTTGTAAGGATGTGCTTTATCTTGCAGTAAGCACAAGAAAAAGGGAAACTCGATAATATATATCTACGAAGTAAAATTTTAATTTTAATTGGAGAACAATATAATAGTACTGTGTCTGGGTTTTGTTTTGGTTATGATACTAGTATTTATTTTTCCCGTGCATACATGATGAGATATATTGCTCCCATTATATTTACAACTAGTTATACCTGCATACATGCAGAAGCATGCATTGTAGGAGACAATAGAATCTGAAGGACGTGTGATTGTCATGATACATAGAAGCTAGAATTAGATATCTGCCCCTTTGGGAAGCAATGGCTATAGTGACAATGCGTTGCCACTGATGGCAGATGGCGTACGTTCCATGTGGCATGCTCCTTGGATGCTGGAAAGTGACGATTTAGCCATGCTCTGATGTCCCTAGAACTCATCCATTTCCCACTCCCCTATAGGTCCCATATGTTGCTATTCTCATACGGTAGTCGAGCTTATTGAGATTTGAAATAATGTTAAGAGAATTTCAACTAGGAAATAAAAAATTAAAAAAAATGTTTTCAATTCTTTTATTTTTGTTAATAAGTATAAAAAGGTTATTTTGTTTTCATTAAAATTCTTATTATTAAAAATGTGAATGGAAATATGAAAATATTTTTTTTTTATTTTATGACATTAATATTCTGTTATTTTTATTATTTCTTACATAGTTTTTTAAAAATAAAATTGAACGTAAAATAATTTTATAATTATTGATAAGATTTTAAAAGAATTTATTGTTTTTCTTAATGATAAGTGCCCTTAAGTTTCCAAGTCTTCAATGAAGAGCTGAAATCAATTTTGTGCATAATTTTTCATAAGCACTTAAAATAAAATAATAAGATAAAATTGGCTTATTAATAAGTCATTAAAAAATGAGAATTTATATGAATTAATTTATGCATAATAATAACTTATAAGGAAAAAAATTATTTAATTTTATTCTATGCACAAGTTTAGTATGGAAAAACTTATCAACCGAAATTCAACTAGTGTAGCAAAAATTTGATTATTTACTCTTTTTTTTTTCCTTTAGTTCACGGGGTTAAACGATTTCACCTTGTCTAACAGCGAGATCTTATAATCCATTTGATCATAGTCATATATTACTCAAACCAGCAGAACCAATGTTATCTGACTTTCATTCGACCAACCTCGTACTGTTATAAATTGTCATTTCTAGCAGCACATTGTAATAAATTGTCTTAGGCAGTTCTGTGATATAGCATTAGCATATGCAATTAGAAAATCATCAAACTTCACCAGACTAATATACAACGTTTACGATCCATCCCATCTCGCGGAAAAGCAATCTAGAGGCATAAGAAGCAAGTAAATGCATTTTTGCAACATAAATATATGCAATGTCGTTACTCGTTAACCTCTGTGTGGCTTAATTAAATATTTGATTACAATTTTAATTGACTAGCCAATAGCTAACAGCCTTTTGTGGTAGGAATGGCTGATGGGGTTAAAAATGATCTGAGAATAGGGGTAAGGGGACAAATGTGGACCCTTGATATCTTCATTTTGGTTTTCAAGGTTCATCTCCCAAACACATGCATGTTCTCTTATAGAACGTTCTCCATCCCATACAAAACCTTCATTTAATGCACCTCCTATTCTACCATTACATATTCGTGAAAAATATCCTCACTCTTCCTCTGTCTCTAACTTGGAGCCATCTCACCATGACTTCTCTTTCTCTTGCTATGCTCCTTTTAATCCTCTGCGTTTCTGTGCATGCATGCACCGCTCGTTCTCTTAGTCTTACCAAAAAAGGCACCCCACATAAGGTTGGCTTCCAAATACCAACAATTCTATTTTTGTATATATGCTATAAGATCTCTTCCTCACTGCATTGCATTAGTTTTCCGTACGGGACAAAATATATAAATATATTTATTGTTCAACATGTGAAGCGTTTGAAAATATTAATAGATGGAGACTAATTAAGATTTGTGATTATCCACAGGAATTAGACAACGCCAACTCATTGGAGACTAATCAATCGCAGCAACAGAAAGTCGGAAATGATGAAATAAAAACTTGTGAGAGTTGTAGCAGTGTATCAACGATTTCGAAAGAAGTGAATCAAGTGATCATAGGGGAATCTTCAGGTGCCTAACTTTCTAGAATCTTTTCTCCGATCCCCTTCCCCAAACACACGCACACCTAAAGTGATCGAAATGAAACTTCCGAGGTTTATCTCTGTTGATGGTTAAAGTTACTTGTTTATTTGCATCACTTAATTAAGGAACTAGAATCATTAAGGAACTTAACTTGCGTGTTGTATTATATATGGTGCACAAGGTTGCATTGCATGCCATTTTATTAACTTCTTTCTCAGAATATTTGTGGCTATATGTAAATTTGTTATAAAACTTATCATCTTCCTTTCTTCCTACTATCATTCCACCCTTATGCATCCCTTTATTCTAACAATAATAATACTAACTTGTGGTGGTGGGCATATGCACTATGCAGGCACATCTTTTCAAACGGATTCACCATCCTTTCTTGCTCCTAAGGTAATATATATGGTACAAATTTGGATAATTTAGATTTTGATAGAATTATTTGCCCCTCTTATTTGGGTTGGGTCTAAAGATATAAATGTTTTACGTAAATGTTTACTAGTAGTTATATATAGAGATGAGAACATGCATATCTATACGTCGGGCAGAGGCACAATTGTAATTAATATGTGGTGGGAAGGATACATGTTTGTTGCTGATTGTGAATGATGGAAAACGATGAGACATATGCTTGTGTAGGATGAGAGGAGGCATGCGCGGTCAATGCTGGGACCTGCTCAGCACCACCTTGAAGAAACAGTGATTACAAACGCCAGTGACACCACAGAGGACATTGTTGAAATGGATTATGCTCAACCCCATCGGAAACCACCCATTCACAATGAAAAGCACTGATTGCATGCATGCTTTATTTAATTATTTTTCCAACAATCTTTCGTGCCATGTAGTTTTGGCCTTTCCATCATGTATGGAAATGTTGGGTTATTTACTTTTAATTAAAACTACAATTTCACTATGATTATGATGTGTGCTGAACATATATATTTTCATGATTGTTGGTGTTTGGCATAAAACGAGTAATGGATCATAGATATGATTAATATTTAATAACAGTCAGATTCGTTCATATCCTTAATAAATAAGCAATCAGATTCATTCATATCCTTTCTTCTTGTCGGCTTTCGTGTCTCATTTACTTTAGTCAAAATAATGTGCAGGCTTAAGACACCGAGGCACATGCAATGCCTTGGTGAAATGTCAGAATACTCTGTGTTTCTTATCCGTCAAAAAATTAAACTCACGTGAAAAGTGTGCATTGAATTTATGAGAAGTGAATGGAATGAGAGACATGGATAGGAATGGAATGGAAGAGTTGCCAACTTTTAGGACGTTTATCAGTATGGTTGTTGGTATCTCCCCAATTTCAGTTTACTGTCCTACTAAAGTTAGTTAATTGCACCAAAATAGTATTCTGTCTCGCCCAAATAATCTAAGAGTTAATTAACTATATATTATCGGTGTAAAAAAATACTTTACATTGACAGTGTATAAATGATTAACTCATAATTTAAAGGTAATATATGATGATAAAACTCAGAATAATACTAGGAGTACTATTAGTGTTCCCCAATTAGAATTACAATTTTACTTTATTAATATGTATATTTTTTTGATTGAAGTACAACACAAACATATTTAAGAAAACAACTTGAACCCTATTGTAAATGATTGATATAATTAGAAAATTGTTCCAACCATCATATAAGAAAATTGCGTCAATCATTTTAGACGGAATAGTTTATTTTTTCCACTTGAATTAAGTTAGACAACCCCTTATATTAATTAATGCAGGAAACAAAGTAAAGGCAAATAAATTAATCAATGCAGGAAGCAAAAAGAATATATCTCACATGTAACATGTATAATTGTGCCTCATCAAAACCAATACTATACATTTCAAAATCACGCCTCGACTTATAACTCATAATAAATGTACAAGTATTCTATCAAATAGCCAAAGCTTCATCAATATCATCCTACAAGTTGATGACTCCTCAAACATCACCCCCATTTCTGATATTCATCCGTATAGCCTATACCGATACATTCCTCATGATATGAAGTAACTCTAAAATCTATATATATTGGTATAGCTGACAATGAACCGGTTGATAAATCTGATTGCTTGACCTGTCTTGATCCCAAGCTCCAGATCAACCTTAGCCTCACCCAAACAAAGAAAGAAAAAACTACTGAAGTTAGTATCACAATAGCTTCATCTAAGATTACCTAAAATTGGTCCTTATATTCGGTTAGTTTGGATAAACATTTTAAAAAACAATTATAAGAGGAAAAAAAATAGAATCAAAGAGGTAAAATAAATTAAACTTGCATAAATTAAGATTATATTGTGTATTTCAACTTTTTCAGAAACTTTCTTATCTAATTTCTTAAGTCAAATTCTTTTTTTAGAAAAAATCTTAAGTAGTATTTTACAATTGGAAAACACCTACAAGTTAGGAGCTAGTTCAAAATGGACCATACTACCTACCGATCAATAAAGATAGACAATGAAGGTTTCTCTTCAATAGATAAGGCATCAAGCTATCTGAAATGAATAAGAGAATTAAATACGATTTGAATATTATGCAACTATAGCAGATATGAGTAATTAGTCAATTAATGTTCCAGGCGGAAAAAAGTAACTCTGGTAACACATGTTTAAATATAATAGGTTAAAATAATTTTATAAGGTTGAATTAACTTCTTAAGAAATTTGAAGTATTTCATCTTAAAGTGAGCATCAATTTTCACCCCTTCCAAACACTAGCATGAGAACAAGTTGTATCTTTCGGTGTATACTAATACCAAGAAGAGAATACCAGAAAACCACGTAGATATATTCAAATAATGTGTTGGAAAATTCTACACCATTTGTCTTGATTCTTAAGGTGAAACTTATATATTTGATACATAACTTTATTGAATATTATTTGGTTTTAAGACTGAATCTAACATGGTATGCAGGTCTCAATGTAGTTCCCTGAATCACTTTAGTACTGAGATAGGCCTAAATTAGAGTCGTGGACTAACCAAACAGCTGGAAGAAATATTAGACCCTTGGGCATTTGTTGGACCACTTCCTTTGAGAGCATGCACAGATTTTCCATGAGATCCTACATCCTATACAGGAGACACCCCCAAAAGAAAAATGGACCCTGTGCCAAACAGAAGAACAAAAACAAGTTGACTTGTGTGCTTGTCTAGCATCAAACAAGAAAAGATATATGCGCAAAAATCTCTGTTAATGGCAGATGTAAAACACACAAACACCACATTATTACCATGACCATGTGTTACTGTCTTAGTTTAATTTAATACAAATTTCTAAGTATGGATAAAATGATGGGAATGGACTTCGTGAAGCCTTGAAGATTTCAAGATTAAAATCGGTAAAGATGACGTGAGTTGTTATCAAAATTATATTTTTTAAATTGGATCTAGATCGAGAAGCAGACCTGCGAAAAACCTTTTTACTTTGTCCAAAAATATTGGGCCAAACAGTAGGTCCACCAAGACAATTATTTGTGTGAAAGAAATTAAACTGCACTAGGTGCAAAAATGATTGGGTTTAGGCCTTGAAACTTTAAAGAATACATGGTTAAATAGGGAAGGTCTAGTTACAAATATCTTACGGCAAACGTTGTACAGACTTGTCCAAATTTTTATTTTAGATGTTGTTACTAACACTTTTATTTTATTAGTATTAATGTATCTCAATAAATTTTGTTTAAAAATAATAAAATATAAAAATAATAAAGATTACAACTTACAAATTATAAATCAAGTGAAACCATGTATAATTAGAAAGGAAAAAAATTAATCTTAAAAAACATGATGATTAAAAGTGGTTATAAAATAAATAGGTAATTATTATTTATTGGTAAAGTAAACGATTAATTTTTTATACACATTTTTTTTATTTTTTTCTTAAGAGACATGATGGTGGGAAAAAAATTAATATATAATAATAGTGTATAAATATCTAAAAAAATTTGAAAACTAAAGAGTGATATCCCCTTATATATATAGTATAAATATATAGAGATTTATATTTTACCCTTGAGAAATATGATAATATGATGGTGAGAAAATGATTAATATCTATGTGTGTTTGCCCTTATATAAAGTATAAATATAGATGGTGAGAAAATAATTAATATTTGTGTGTGTACGCCCTTGAGAAGTATGATGCATGGTGAGAAAATGATTAATATTTGTGTGTGTGCCCTTGAGAAATATGATGGTGAGAAAATGATTAATATATGTGTGTGTCCTTATATAAATATATATAGATTTATATTTTTTGATAAATGTTATTTTTTTTATAAAGATAAAAAAATGTATAAAAATGGTTACATCGAGAATTTTACCTTAGTTTCTTATTTTTATTGTCTCAATCTCTTCTTTCCGACTATTAGACTAGTTCTAATGATCAAATATACATTGATTTTAATTTACATAATAAAATAATAAATAATTTTTAAATTTTTCAAAAAAATGTAAACTTTATCTATTTTAATAAAAACTTTAAATTTAATAGTTAAATATTTAAAATTTAATATATACTGTGTGTTATTGAATGAAATAATTATACCAAGAATTACTCTTAGAGTTACTTAATCACCATCCATTTATATATAAATGGGTTTATATATATAGTCAATACAAGTATTTTATACATATTTTTAAATATTTTTACACATATTTATAACCATTTTATTATGTTATACAATTCATTAATGTGGTAATAAATAAATTAGATATAAGTAAATATATATTAAACTAACTATTCAATTCCATTTATATATTCTTTAAATTTTAATTTGTTTCTATTATTTTAATGATAAAAAAATAATTTATATAATTTTTAGATATTCATATATATATATATATATATATATATTGAATTAATGAATTTTTTTTAAAGAAAGTCCCATGCTTTGTAAGTGTTCCATTTCCATGTATACAGATATTTGAAAGGGGATACGAGAAGAGAGTTTTGTTAGCAGTCACAGGCGAATTATAAGAGGGCCACCATTGCATCATAAATGTTGCCACACTGTCATTTTGTGTTGTCCTGCGCCTGCCACACGTTTTCGATAAGTAAACTCTGCGTATATGAAACTGCTAAGTGCTAAACACAAAAGGTATCATCACTGCTAAAAGTGGAAAATGATAAAAAATAAAATAAGCTCACCGCACACAGATTCCTCGAAGTTAACAAGGGAAAGAAGAGAAAAAGTGATGAGCTTAAGCATCGTAAATCTTCGGGCACATAACCATAACATTCTCCTATTCGAATCATTGAAAGTTTCAACTATCAAAACCTATTGGTTGCTCGAGTGATACGATGACTTTTTGTCTCCAGAAGCCGTATTTGAACAAAAGGTACGGTAAAAAAAGGTCTCCCGAATTCATAAAGTTGAATTCAATCAAAAAGAAATTAAATTAAAATGTAAACAATGTCTCTATCATCACATAAAAAATGGGTGCAACTCATAAATTGTAGCAGTCGTGGGGTGTCGGTGAGAGACAAAAACCAGGATGACAAGTTTTCTTTTTCTCCCTTTTACAAACCTTGAAATTAACGTATTTCCTTGACGACTATTGAAACTTCTTAACACATTCATTTCATTGACATATCCAGAACAGTAGAAACTTCAAAAGCTGTACCAGGAATTCTCTACGGAGAGACACAAGGAAAGTGGAATGGGCCCACAAAGTGACGCTGCTTTGATCTCAACCACCAAATCTCATTTACGAATTAGAATGCACGGTATTATTGACTATTGAAAAGCATTACCTTCCTTTCCAAGACTAAGAATTCGAAACCATTTACCTAATTAGAACCATGTTTTACGTTCTCATTGCACTTTCACCTCAGTATAAATATGTTGTCTCTTGCATCTCGTAACCACAAGAAACAATTAATTAATATCATCTCATAATTCACATCCATCTAATCACAATGCACAAGAGTGGTTCAAGTTCAGCTTTGGGTCCAGGGGGCTTGGACCTAACACAAGCCTTCTTCAAGTCCATCATGAACGCAGCACCTTCCTCTCCCACCAAGCGCCACAACAAGATATCTGTTGTTGGCGCTGGCAACGTGGGAATGGCCATAGCCCAAACCATCCTCACTCAGGATCTCACCGACGAGCTTGCACTCGTCGATGCCATTCCTGAGAAGCTCCGTGGCGAGATGTTGGACCTCCAGCATGCCGCCGCCTTCCTCCCCCGCACCAAAATTCATGCCTCTACGGACTACGCCGTTACGGCGGGCTCCGACCTCTGTATTGTGACGGCCGGAGCCCGTCAGATCAACGGCGAGTCGAGGCTTAACCTCCTACAAAGGAATGTGACCCTTTTTCAGAAAATCATACCTCCTCTGGTTGGTCACTCCCCAGACACCATTCTCCTTATTGTTTCAAATCCGGTGGACGTTCTCAGTTACGTGGCTTGGAAGCTCTCAGGGTTCCCTTCCAACCGCGTCATTGGCTCTGGCACTAACTTGGACTCCTCACGTTTTCGTTTCCTCATTGCTGATCATCTTGATGTCAACGCCCAAGATGTCCAGGTTCATTACTTTTGCACTATCTTATTAATGTGACTTGACTTTTACTATACATAAAACTTGCATGCAATGGTTTGCATTCTTTTTCAGTCAGATTTGGATTCTCACATCAATGATATGAGTTATAAAGAATATATTATCTGTAACTCATACCATTATTATTATTAAGATAAAATTTTGATTGGAAAATGGTACGATTAGCATGATATTGAATGTAAGTTTTTTCCTTTTATTATTCTTACGTAAATTTTTATTTTCTTATGTGAATTTGTAAGTGCAGGCTTTTATAGTGGGGGAACACGGTGACAGCTCGGTGGCCCTGTGGTCTAGCATTAGTGTTGGGGGTGTTCCGGTGCTAAGCTTTTTGGAGAAGCAAGAAATAGCGTATGAGAGGGAAATGTTGGAGAAGATACATAAAGAAGTTATACAAGGTGCTTATGAAGTGATAAGTCTGAAAGGGTACACTTCTTGGGCGATTGGGTACTCGGTGGCAAACTTGGCACGAAGCATTCTTAGGAACCAAAGGAGGGTGCATCCTGTGTCGGTTCTTGCAAAGGGTTTTTATGGCATCGATGGTGGGGAAGTGTTTCTCAGCTTGCCTGCACAACTTGGAAGAGGAGGAGTGTTGGGTGTAACCAATGTGCATTTGACTGAAGAAGAGTCGCAGAGGCTTAGGGATTCGGCAAACACGATACTCGAGGTGCAGAATCAGTTGGCTATTTGAATTTCATTTCAAGCTTCCTATGATGAAGTCAGGTAGATACTCATGTATCAATGTTTGTTGTTAATTATCCTTTTTTACAAGATCTTGTTTGTTCATCTATGTACTAATTAAAAAAGTTTTTTTTTTTTTTTAATAAGGAGTGATGTATTTTCTATTTACAATATATAAAACTTGTCAACTGTGAAGTGAATTGCTGTTTTTCTATCATTTAAATAGAATTGTTGTTAAATTAATTTAACGTTTAATTGTAATTAAATCATTGTTAAATCAATAGATTGGATTTTGACTCGTATGATACACTCTACAAACTTATTATGTGAGTATTTTAAAATTAATTTTTTGTTGTAATATATATATATATATATATATATATATATATATTTGGGACCATCAACAATAATATTAAAAACACAACATATATTTAAAACTAACTATTTAAAATATTTAACAATACAAACTATTTTTAATTAATATTATAAAATCAACAACGTATAATAGAAAAACTATTAATCAGGAGAAAAAATAAAAGAAAATGATATATATATATATATATATATAACATTAAATTAGTAAAACAAAGTGCCTTGAAAATCATAATTACTTTTAATTCATCCAAAAATTTGAATTCCTAGCAATAATACATTATAAGTTAAATAGATAAAAAATATTGTTTAAAAATCTATCAATAATTAAAGAAATATGATTTTACGATGCTTAACATATGTTATATTCAATTGAAATGGGTAATTGCTTTTGAATCGTAAATTTTAAAATTAAAATAAAGTTACGTGATGACTATAACCCTACTACTTTTCTCTATATAAATATTTGATATATATAGAGGGAGTTATAATTACATCGTTTTAACTTTTACCAAGTATTATATTGTTTAATAACTTTATATTAAATGTGAATTTTGTAAATCTAACTGTTGGATTAAAAGTTCATATCACTTTATATGTGTATATCAATTTTTGTTAAAATTGAACAACAATTTGAAGGTAATCAAAGTATTTATCTTTTAGTATATTTTGAAATGAATATATTACATCAATTTTGTTTTATAAGAATGAAGTATCAAATTATCTTGGATTAATATAAAATTTTGTATATATAATCCAAGAGTAAAGAACTTTCAATCTAACGGTTAGATTTACAAAATTCATATTTAATATAGAGTTATTGAGCAGTATAATACTTAGTAAAAGTTATACCGATATTATTATAACCCTTCTTATATATATATATAGATTTAAATATATGACTTTTTTTTATAGTCTGCATGTTAACTTAAATGCCTATTAGTTTAATTAGTTAATTTTTTTTAATGAAATTTAAGAATTAATTTCTAGAAATATTGAGATTCATTTAAAAAATTATCCTTTCTCAACAAATATTTTTTTTATACACACCGATCAGAAATCAAACTTGTGATCACATGTTAAAAAAAAGTAAGATTATCTATTAATCATGTCACATTTTATTAATCTTTGATAATGTGTTTGTTAACACGTAAATCTTCTATTATTTTTTAAAATAATGAATCTATTAATCCTTTAGCCTATGCAACTTATTAATAATACACCAATCAACCAATTTAAATCTTTAATAAAAAAAAAATAAGTCTTTAAATATGTTAACCACTCAAACCAAATTTACATAAAAGTCAAGTCGAACTATAAAAAAAAAAAAAAAAAAAAAAAAAAAAAAAAAACTTATAATAAACTATTAAGTCGATTTTACTATTTTAGGCTTCAAAATTATAAGGAGATCAAACCATAAAAATAAGCAAGGCCTACTTTAACTTGCCGTATCTAGTATCTAGAATAAAACTTAAGTTTCCATAGATTGCCTAGAGAAACGCATAATGGTGACGTTTTATTTTCTTATCAAATGTTTCTGGTCCAAGTAGAGATTGTGTCCTATATGTATCAAGATGGGCCGCAGCCCAAATATTGACTAGAGATACATTTCAGTGTTGTATTAAAAAAAATTTGAATTATGCAATAATCACAGATAAGACTAACACAGAGTAGTTACCACTCTTAGGTACAATATATAAAATTCACCTTTTATGATAAATGGTTATTTTCTATGATAAAATTTAGGTACAGTCTTTTAATGTGTAGTTGGTATTATTCTTTAATTAAAACTAGAATTTTATGTCAATAATATGTACTTGTATTTAATATAGATCTTATTAATATATGTTTACACATATTATTAACTTAAAAGTGTAATTTTGATCGGAGAATAATATCATCTGCACTTCAAGAACTACACTTAAATTTTGTCTATTTTGTAACTTTTTTTCTTAAATAAAAAAAAAAAAAAAGAGAGAGAAAGAAAGTGCTACTCGGTTTCAAGTTTCAACCCCATCCTAAGATATACAATAATTACTATAGCCAAGTTAAGAAAAACGTTTAAATCAATTCTTATGGCCCGATCATTAAGGTATGGATCTGTACGATCTGGCCCAATTCATGAACAATCCTCGAGACGTTTAAATTTGAGCCGTTAAGGTATAGATCGTAGTTACTCAATTATTAGACCAACCTTAATTATTAGACTTACATTTATAATGTGTTAGAGACAGTTCATATTGGAGCTGTATCAGTGAGCCCCCAATGAGGTCAACGTGCAGCTCCCTCCATTTATTGCAAATTTATGCACCATTTTGTATGTCCTTTACATTCGCCATTCATTTCAATTTTGTTTGCATGCATAAAGAATAAAAATTTATTGTTAAAAAAGAAGCATTTTCAAAGGTATTCCCTCGATGCAGGGAACCAAGTATTCCGTAGGTCATGTTTATGCTGTGATCTACACTAGTGAAAAATTAGGATACTACATCACTCATTTTACGTCGGACATATAAACACCCGATGTAATAAAAACGCAGTGACATGTTTCGTAATTTTAATTAAATTATTTACGTCGGACCGATCCGACATAAATTTTAACATCTACGTCGGCTATGCATTGTGTCCGACGTAGATGTTAAAATTTACGTCGGATCCTATTAGGGCCGACGTAAATAACATGTAGGACCTGCTTAAAAGAAGGTGTACATGCACTAGCTAGATTTCAAAAAAACTTCATGGTTTCCTTCTCCCGCGTTGTGCACCTTCTTCTGTTTTTCTTCTGTTTTCCTTCTCCCGCATTGTGCAGCCTCCTCAAATCGTGCTTGTCCTCCTCATCTGCACCTTCTTCTGTTTTTCTTCGCGTGATGACGTTTTTCTTCTTTGGAATGTTGGTCATGGGCTTTTCTAGGAGGTTCTATGAGAAAGGTAATGTTTGCGTTGCATTTCGAGTTTTTGAAGCTGGAGAAGGAAGTGACCAAGTCCGGGTGTGGAGAACCCACTCCTGTGTCTATCAAGCAGAAAGGTCCGTTCTGCTTGGAGAACGGCCGGTTCTCCATGCAGAACGGCCCGTTTTGCTTGTACTCATTTTTCTTTTTTTCTTTTTAAATTTTTTTATGACTTTTTTACGTCAGACCTTGGCATATCTGACGTAAATTTACGTCGATTTTTCGTGCCTGACCTAAATTTACGTCTCCTGCTTCAACGTCGGAAAGTTTTCAGACGTAAAATCTCTAAAATAACTGAAATAGAATGTGTATTGTGTACTAGTGCCATCTCTTTCATCCCACCCACATGCCATTCAAAAGTCTAGTTGGAATATATTTAGCCTTCTTACTCATGTTAAGTGAACTATCAACACATTCACCGATGGAGTTGTAAAATGATTCAAATTGATTTTGATTGGAAACAAATATAATATGACATTTGTTGGTCATCACGTGTCTTTTATGAGTAATAAGGTTAGTAATTAAAACATACATTTAAAAAAAAAATATTATTCAATGAATTTAAACCTGCTTCTTTAAATAATTTAATTGGACTCACAAATTGTTTAGTAACTTACTAATAAGAGAAAAGGTTTAGAAAACCAATTGTTGTAGAACTAATTTTGTTCCCGCCAGCGAACGTTATGGTGTAGACTGATTTTGAAAAAACAAGATACAAAATCGTTGTCTCATAGCCAATTTTGTATGTGTTTGAGGCCGCAGTATCACTCTTGAACGTTTACAACTCCCTCAAACAATGACAGACTCTACGAGGTTGTAGGTTTAGTTCTCCTCATTAACTCCCAAACGACTGTCGTTTCTTGTCTCTCACGGGTTATCCAACCGCGACGTCTAGGTTAGTGTCATCAAATCATCCACCGCACGCTCATTGTAACTATCTATACACTCCTCCACCGCCGCAACACCACCTATATACACCTCATTTTTATGTCATATATCAAATCGATTAAGCCATAATCAATTTTTAAATTTGGCATAAATTGTAAAAATGTTATTGTGCTGACTATTTAAACCAGTTGCAAGGATATCATACACTATTTTTGCATTCTAAATTATTTTGCACAGTTCATTTAATAATATGTACAAAATTATAAAGAATATTTGCAAATAATAATATTTAGGAAATTATAAAAAAAATATTTTTGCTAATATTATTAGAACTCAAGTGTAAATAAAATTATTCATTGATTAGATTCAGACAGATTAATTAATATATAAATGAAAAGAATTTATCATTTAATATTTTAATTAAAATTTTGAATAATATATAATATCTAACTCATTTATTTGATTTAGTGGATGTTTTGAAAAAGTAAAACTCCACCAATAATATTGCTACTTGAAAATTGAGTCCAACTATAATTTAAAACTCATCTCTTTAGATATCCATTTTGTAGTAACCCAATTTCGTCCGGGAAATATTAATTTTGTTCTTAAAAAATAGAAAAATAGGTATATGCAAAAAAAATAAAAAAGGACAAAATTTCAAGCCTGGAACGGGCCGTTCCAGCTTTCCTAAAAGCCCTAAAGTTTCTAGCCCGGAACGGGCCGTTCTGGATTCAGAACGGGTCGTTCCAACCTTCCAAAAAAGGCTAAATTTCTAGCCTGGAACGGGCCGTTCCAACCTTCCAAAATACCTCTAATTTTTGGCCCAGAACGGGCCGTTCCCAAACTGGAACGGGTCGTTCCAATTTTTAAAAAAGACCTATAATTTTTAGGCCAGAACGGCTGTTCCCGAACTATCAAAATACCTAAAAATTTTAGCCCGGAACGGGCGGTTCCCAAACTGGAACGGGCCGT